TCTGACACTTTTATATATATCTTAAATTAAAGCTAATGTAATATACTTTATTATGCGAAAAAAAAATTTCGGACTTTATTTTATCTTCACGGCGAAAATGGTTACCAAATGCTATTTTCGTGTGAAAATTCTCGATTTTATTATTTATATAATATTTAACTTTATAATGCTATAACTTATTGAAAAGTTTATGGATCCACACAATTTTTTTATGAGAAATAATATTTTTTAATAAACCCTTTTTCATTCGACATACTTTATCTTAATCGAGATATTAATAAGGAACCAGCAGATCAAGTAGCTTTTGGAATAAAACACCAATTTTTTTANATATTAATAATGAACTAGCAGATAATGTAGGTTTTGGAATAGTCCACCAATTTTTTAAAATTAAACAGTATCTAAAGATTTGCATCGAAGCGTTTTTTTTTTATAGAGATTTTAATCACTGTCAGATATCATTATAGTTGATCCATCTATACCACGTCACCACTGTGCCGCGACCCCCCTGTGCTGGGTTTTTTTAAATTAAACACTATTTAAAGATTTGCATCGAAGCGTTTTTTTTTAATAGTGGTTTTAATCACTATCAGAAATCATTTTCCTTTGATGCTGTACTGAAAGGAATTCGGTGGATAAATTCAAAAGCAACATCAACTCTTATTTCTTTATTTATATCACGGATTAGTTCTTTGATTTTAAAATATAATATATGAATAAGTACTAATTATAGTATGAAATATTATAGTATGTCAAGTTAGTATGAAATTGTTATTCAATAATTTAATATTGTAATTTTTACGGAGATATTATAAAAATAATAAAGTTGTTATATATTGCTTCACTTATATGTGTGTAAAAATTTAAAGGGCTTGGTGCAATATTTTCNTATATTGCTTCACTTATATGTGTATAAAAATTTAAAGGGCTTGGTGCAATATTTTCAATAAAAGCTGTTTGTTATTATAAATAAATGCCCTGTAAAAGGAACTTTTATCAGAAGCAAAAATATACTTTTCTAAATCAACTTTTCGCATTGTTTTCAACTTTGCAATTATACTTTTTCTATCAGAAAAAAAAATCGTTTTCAAATTATTACTGATTTTGTTTTTTAATATGTTTAAAATAATCAGCCCAAATTTTCATTTTTAACCTATTTTTTGGTTCTTTAAAGTTTAAAGAAAAATATTTGATAAAGTTTTGTAAAAATTTATAGTAAAAAAAATTGAATATGTTGCCTAACTTTTTTAGCTTAATTGCAAGTTTGAAATTGACATCATTAAATAGAAAATTTTATGAGAATTAAAACAATGGTATTTTTAAGATTAATATGTAATCAGGAAATTTTATAATTACTATTTATAGTAAATTTATCAGAAAATCTCAATATTTTTTTGCTTTTTTAACGTATTAAATAACTGAAATAGAAATCATAGTAATCATTTCTAAGTAACTTTTAGTATTTAAAAATATTCTACACTTGAAATATCCAAAACTGAATTAATTTTAACAATTTACTTTAACTAAAAAAAAAAAAGTTATCATTTTGAATCCCACTTGTTGGTAGATAAAGAGTTAGATTTATAAAAAAAAAAAACCAAATGATAGGTGAAGACATGCATCTATATAAAAAAAAATTAGACTGATTTGATAATTTTTAATAAAGTGATAACAGTTAACAAAGTTATAAGTTTTTATCACTAGACTACAAGGAACTTTCATCAGAAACAAAAATTTAATTTTCTAAATCAACTTTTCTTGATGTTTTCAAATATGAAATTAAACTTTTCCTATCACTTCTAAGTTTTAATATTGTTACTTATTAATAAAAAATAAGTATTTACATATAAACAAAAAAAAAACCCAGCACAGGGGGCTCGCGGCACAGTGGTGTCGTGGTATAGTTGGATCAAGTATAATATCTGACAGTGATTAAAATCACTATCAAAAATAAACACTTCGATGCAAATCTTTAGATAGTGTTTAATTTAAAAAAAATTGGTGTTTTATTCCAAAAGCTACTAGATCTGCTGGTTCCTTATTAATATCTCGATAAAGATAAAGTATGTCAAATGAAAAAGGGTTTATTAAAAAATATTATTTCTCATAAAAAAATTGTGTGGATCCATAAACTTTTCAATAAGTTATAGCATTATAAAGTTAAATATTATATAAATAATAAAATCGAGAATTTTCACACGAAAATAGCATTTGGTAACCATTTTCGCCGTGAAGATAAAATAAAGTCCGAAATTTTTTTTTTTGCATAATAAATTATATTACATTAAATTTAATTTAAGATATATATAAAAGTGTCAGACCTTCCGGAACATTTTCTAAAGTTAAGTTGTAAAAGTTAATTTTTTGTGAAAAAGTTGTCATTTTAAATCCCCTCCTGTGGGCAGAAAAAAAGTCAAATTTACAAAAAAAATATACCAAATAATAAGTAAAGACATCAAGCATCTATATAAAAAAAATTTATATTGATATGTTCATTTTTGAAAAAGTTACGGCAGTTTTTAGTAAAAAAAATTGAAAAAATTTCGAAAATTAGCGATTTTTAAATTTGTAATTTTTTTGGAGGTTTCCCCCNAGCGATTTTTAAATTTGGAATTTTTTTGGAGGTTTCCCCCATTTACGGGGAACGAGGGAAATTTTTTTTAATTTTGAAGGGTAATGTCTTCGACTAGATACGATTTGTGATCTTTTGACGTACCGTTGAAAGAAATCGGTTCGATGAGAGCTGAGAAAAAGTGGTAACAGACACAAAAAAAAAANGTTGAAAGAAATCGGTTCGATGAGAGCTGAGAAAAAGTGGTAAGAGACACAAAAAAAAAAACAAAAATACACATCATAATAAAATTAATACCTTCTCAGCTTCGCATCTTTTATAAATGATTAAAGATGATCCTAAATATTATCTCATTTAAATAAAAAATTATGTACAATTGAAATTATAATAAAAAGAAATTCTGAATATTTTACTTATTTTGCAGATAAATGAGTAGTTCTCAATAAAGAAATTACCTTTTAATATCAATTTAACATACCTGGATTTTTAAATGTATTACGATCAAGATAATCAATAAAAGCTTCTTCATCACGAAAAAGTTTTTTTAAGTCCTCATTTGATTTTATGCTCTAGTTTTATCATATTTAAAACAATTAAATTTATTAGTAATAATTGTGTTAAATGATACATTTAAACTTACTGAACAAATACTTTTTTGTAATGGTATTCCAAATTTTTTATCTCCACATATTAGTTCAGACAAAACTTCATATAATTTTTCATAATGGTAGTTTTGTAAAAGAGCTGACTTAAAATCCTTATGTTTTATAAACGTAAATCCCAAACTTTCACATTTGTTTTTTCTCCAAACTTCATCAACTGGATTGAATTTAAATGGAAAATTTAGAATTGTTTTATGAAATGTGAAACCCATATTATCCCCCTCAACACTTGTTATATGTGTTACTATCTGTAAATGTTAAAAAGTTTTCAACATAATTATTTAAAATAATAACTAACTACAAATAACTACAAAAAAAATAATCACAAAAAGTCAATACATTCAAGATAATATTGGTAGTTACACTTAAAATTTCTTTTATCTGTTATGAACTTATTTTCATGTTCATTTCTTATGACTTTTAAGGATGTCAACTTAATTTTTTTACGGCACAATTGTGTAATTTATAAAATGATTGAATGATAAAAACTTTAACTAGTATTTTAAAAATCAAAATAAATTTAAAATAAAGCATTATTGTCAGGATTGAATTATGGTATTTTTATCACTAGATTGCCTCATTCCTCCTCCCACCAAGTTATAAAATGTTAATAACTTCCGAAACATCGATCAAAATTATGTAATCGATTAATCATATTCCTAATAAGATTATTTTATCTTCAATGCGAAGCTGAGAAGTTATTGATTTTACAATGATATGTTTATTTATTTTTTTTTTTTTGTGTCTGTCACTACTTTTTCTCAGCTCTCACTGGACCGATTTCTTTCAACAATACGTCAAAAGATCAGAAATTGTATCTAGTTGAAGACATAATCCTTAAAAATTGAAAAATATTCCCTTGTTCCCCACAAATGGGGGAAATCTCTAAAAAAATTACAATTTTTAAAATCGGTAAATGTTGTCATATTTTTCTTAAAACTTCTATAAAATTTTCAAAATGCAACGAATCGACATAATTTTTCTTTATATTAAAACTTTAGATATTTTCCTTTCATTTGATATCATTTTTTTGAAAATCTAACACTTAACCTGCGCACAGGGGGGGATTTGAAATAGTAATTTTTTTACAAAAACTAACTTTTCAACTTAAATTTTGAAAATGTTCCGGAAATACTGCGTTCTTTAAACATATACCAAATATGTCATGTACTTTAAAATGAAAAAAAAATTTTGTCCCAACACTTTATCTACAGCATGCAAACGGCTGCCATTTTTAAAAAAATGGTATATTTGTGTTAAAACTTTCGATTTTAAATTTTCAGCTTTAGGATGCTACAACTATTCGAAAATTGAATATATCAGCACAAATTTCTTTTTTATAAATACATTGCAAGTGGGCTTTTATATTGACCTGTAACAACAACGTGGTGTGCCACTTGCATAACGACTAGTTTTAGTAGCAAGGGTCGCCACCACCTAGGCGAGGTGTCACTCCTATCAGATATGATTACCGGACCATAGGTGGATTTTAATTTTAAGTTAATTAAAAGTATAATCTAAGTTAATATGTCGTTATATGTATAAATTACTATAATACCTCATGGTTTATTAAACACAATTATGACAATAAAAGTTGTTTGTGGTTGATATGTAAAACATATCGAGCCCGTGTCTAGATTAAGGAATAGGGATAAATATACGCGAGTAATTAAGTTACTCGCGCAATAAAATAAACATTACAGTTGAAATTAATAAGGAAATTAAATTTAATTGTTAAAAAAAAAGAAAATTAAGTTAAACATGGACAAAGATGCGAATGCATCAAAAACCATATCTACAAATAAAGGCAATACAAATAAAATAAAATATTTAAACAAAACAAACAAATAATATTACAAACATCACGGACGGTATTGGAACACATCCGTTAATGTTAATCGGAAATTAATGAAGAACACCAGGAGCGGTCTGGACACTCGCTCCTTAGCGTTGGCTAGAAGAAAAGGGAAACACGTGCTCTCCACACATAAACAAAATTAAGTTAATTTACGATAAAATAAAATGAAATAAAATAATTAATAAAATATAGCTCATTACATAAATATAATATAAAAAAGAAAACGATACCCGGTCTCCGAAGAGACCCATCCGATGGTCTGGATGCTTCGCCGAAAAGACCTGGCCGTTCGCCGTTGGTGGCTCTACTCCATCATTGAAAAAAGGATGTCAATAAAACAATAAACGTGTGCACCCTAGCACGGTCAATGACAGAAGAAGGAATAGAGAAGAGTCAACACCGATCTAACGGCAATTTCAAATCGATGACGGCCAGTCTTTTTGGAAAGGATCAATACTGATAAACAATTCGATTATAATTATATTTCTCTTTTATCGCCTTATCTAGCGGTCAGCGGCAAAATAATGAGTGGTTGACACCGCTGTGTCAGAAAAAGGTTCTTTCGCGCGATAAAATAAATAAGTAGACATAACAAAAAATCATAAACGGTCCACCTTCGAATTTGTGACGTTACAACATTATAAATACATCTGGTATTTGACATACTTTTTATTTAAGTTGGACAATTTTTCCTTATATAAGGGGCGTTCAAAAATTGAATCATTGTATAAAAAATTGTACTTTTTCAACTTAACTTTTGAAAATGTTCCGGAAATACTGCGTCTTTTAAACATATGTCAAATCAAAAGTTATGTCATGTACTATAAAATGAAAAAAAAATTGTTCTGTCACCTTATCGTACATTGCCACCGAAGTTAAACAAAATATGTAATATTTGCAAAAAAAATCAGCTCCCTATCATGATTTTTTTTTTTTGCATTTAAAACTACCATAAAATATTGAAATATTAACAAAAACAAAATAATATTTTTTTATATTGAAAGCTTAGGTAATTTCCTTTCATTTGATATTATATAAATATAAATAGTTCCTTATTTTTTTTTTTGAAAATCTAACACTTATTCTATTCACAATGTCTTTCACGCTTAAGGTTCAAATCCATCTCTGACAATTAATATTATGCTTTTTTTGAGTTAAAATAAAATTTTCCAACCCAAACTTTTTAAGCAACTTTAAATAATATTACTTCAATTCAAAAAAACTATACTCCATTTTTAATAAATTATTATTAAGTAAAACAAATTTCAAGTTACCTCATTTGACGATATCATCTTTATCAAATTACACACGCATAAAAGCGTAATATTTTTAGAAAACATTTTAACTTTTTCGAATTGTTTTAAAGTAAACTGTAAATTTTTATGGTATTCTATAATTTTACTCTTCTCTTTTATAATTTTTAAAATGTGTTTTGCTCTTATAACATAAATTATTTTTAGATAAATGGAAAATAAATTATATTTAAATAAATATATAGAGCAAATATTGGCGTAACCTAATAATTATAAAAATTTAACTAAAATTAATAATTTTGAGAATCTATTATTTCTCTTGTTATATTTACTTAATCATTAAGTAACTTATTCATTAATTTTTTTAAAGCACTATTTAGAAAAGTTTACGGGGAACTTAGAACCCTTAATTCTGCAATAGACTGGTATTGTATCCCATACATAATTTGTTTAAATTGTATCTATATATTTCGTATATACCAACAATATATCTTATACTAAATTTTGAAATGAATAAAGATTATTCTTATTCGCTTTGACCTCATTAAAATATTATCCACTTCAGTTGTTCAAATTAAAACATGTGGTTTTACTAGTTAACGACTGAAAAAATGATCTAACTAAGAAATAGTTTTATCCATAACAAATATTGAACCATTATTTTAGAAGATATTAGCGTTTTTTTACCACGTAGGAAAATAGTGATTTATAAATGTAATGACTTAACAAACCCCCTCTATACCTTCAATTTTATATCAAAATTTTGAAAACTTTCAACATTTCAATTTTAATGTTCTTGAAGATTACTTTTACATTTTACAAGAGTAGATGATGATAAGATCATTTTTCATTTTTTTTTGAAAATTATAGTTCTTAAACTAACTTTAAAATATGAAAATTGAAATAGAAATAATAATATTGGATATGATCGTATGTCTTATACGATTTTTTAACTCTTGTGAAAGTATATCAATGTGAAATTCGCACTAGTATTTCTGCAATATCTATTACCAATATATACTTTGATTTTCTCTTTCAATCTTAGTGGCAAAATAAAGTGTTTCGTGAAAATTATAGTCTTCATCATCTATTCCAAGTTATATAATAAGATGACAATAGCGATGAAAAAACATTATAATAGAAAAGGCCCTGGTTGAATTAATTGGTACTAAGTAGTACTTTTAGAATATTTAAGAGAGAAAATTAAAGACCTTATCTTTATAGTAATACCTAAAATTTTATACTTAAAAATTTACAAAAAAAAAGGCTATATATGAATGTTTAACTAAAACAAAAACTTGCGTACAAGTGTGTTTGTTTTATAAAGTAACTAAGTGAACAAAATGCATCTTGATTTTTTTAAAAAAATGTAGCATTTAACAACAACACTCTTCAAAAAAGGTTTTTCTTTCGATATGGTGTAAATTTTTTTTAACTCTGACCCATTACCTGCCCACAGAAAATTCAATATAACTTATTCATAAAAAATATGCCATTTTAACTTAACTTTTGAAAATGCTCCAATTATATTGCAAGCTTCAATCATTATTTAAATTAAAACTTATGTTACATATTTTAAGTTAAAAATAAAAATTTCATTCGACAACCTATCTTCTTTTTGCAAATGGCAGCCACAATTTAAATATGTTTTTTTTGTGTTAAAATTTTTAATTTCATATTTTATTTTTTTCGAATTTATATTGCTATAAATTAAAAAAAAACGTAAATTATTACAAATATTTTTCTAAGTGGTATTTACAAATTCATTTTATGCAACATTCTTTTTTACTTTAATATTTAATATCGTATAAAGTGACTTTCAATATAAGGCACTCTATTATTTTTAACACGTTGACTACCATGCCTGTTTTGGTGTGTCACTTATAAATAAATATTTAAATGCTGATTGAAGCATTTTAATAAACTGATAACAGAGAATCAGATGATACAATATTTAGACGGTAACTCGGGGGCTATTTGACCTTACGAACCTCCAAAGATAACATAACAGTGAAGGACTAAATGACCCCTTTTGGCTTTTAAAAATTCTACTGAGGGGCTGAAACGACCCAGTCGTTGTGTTAAATAATATTTATATTCAGAAAATCATTTTGGTGTTTTTTAATTTCATATATTTCTCGATTTAACAATTATTAAGTATGAAGGTCTCATTATTATATGTTTAATAGTGATAGATTGGAGATGATGTGTGGTTTATGTTATTTTAATCACTACGCAATACTTTGTAGCGCACTTTTTCCACTCTACATTTAAAAATTTGTGTAACTGTTGAAGCACTATTTCAAAAATTGTTTTTTTTAGTAATTTTCTTAATTTCATCAATATTTATGTTCTTTTTTTTTTTTTTAATTTACAATACTAAAGTTTTCAATATCAATTCTATAATAAATTTAATTACAACAATAACTGTTATTCATATATTATATTTAGAGATCATAAAACTTACTCTAATAAAATTTCTTTTTTGACTTTGATACGAAGCTGAGAAGGTATTAATTTTACTATGATGTGTTTTTTTTTTGTGTCTGCTATTACTTTTTCTCATCTCTCATCGAATCAACTTCTTTCAACAAAACGTCAAAACATCAAAAATGGTATCTAGTTGAAGACATTATCCTCAATAATTAAAAATGTTGTCCTCGTTCTCCGTAATTAATGAAAATCCCCAAAAAAATTTCAAATTTAAAAAACACTAATTTTCAAAAAATTTTCATTTTTTTTTTTATAGATGCATGAGATACCTATCATTGTATACAGGGTGATTTTTTTATCATAACCTACTCAATTACTTGCAAAATAATAATAATTTAAATTTTTTTTTTTTTTCATTATCTTTAGTTACACATTACTCTTGAATTTTTAACTATGCAATACTTTTTAAGTTCATCCCTTATGCCTTGGAAAGGGGTCAACTTTGTTTTTTTAAATGGTAACACATATTTTTAATTTAATAAAATGTTTGAGTTTTTAATTTAATAGTAAATGGCATTTGAATTTTTAATATAACTTAATTTGTTTATTAGATATAATCATTTAAAGTTTCAAATTTTTGAATTAATATACAGGTATTATACACAAGGGATTACAAATATAGGTAGCTAATTGGTTTTTTATAACATCGATATTAGCAGGTACACAGCATTGTTATTATCAATTGTAGTAAGGCACATTGTTATGAGTTTATAAATACACTAACTGACAATACAGAAAGTATAACTATTGATAATCATAATTGATAATAAACAATCCGTGACTGAGACAGCAATGTCATAAAAATTCAATTAGCTACCTGTATTTACAATCCCATGTGTATTATACATGTATATTAACTCAACATTTTGAAACTTTAAATGTTTATATCTAATAAGCTAATAAAGTTTTATTAAAAATTCAAATGCCATTTACTATTAAATTGAAAACTCAAACATTTTATTAAATTAAAAATATGTGTTACCATTTAAAAAAACAAAGTTGACCTCCCTCCAAGGCATAAGGGATGAACTTAAAAAGTATTACATAGTTAAAAATTCAAGAATAATGTGTAACTAAAGATAGTAAAAAAAAAAAATGTTTAAAATATTATTATTCTGCAAGTAATTGAGTGGGTTATGATAAAAAAAATCACCTTGTATACATTTTTTTATAATTTTGTTACTTTACCTGACCACAGGGGGTGATTGAAATGACATTTTTTTTTTGTAACGGATAACGGGAAATCAGGGTTCGATTTCGGAGAGGGAATCTGAGAAACGGCTATCACATCCATAGAAAGCAGCAGGCGCGCAACGTGGAGGGATGTAGTGACGAAAAATAACGATACGGGAATCATCCCCCATAATCGGAATGAATACACTACATATCTCTTAATGAGAATAAAGCGTATTAATATATAAGTTTTAATAGTAATTAGAATATATATATATATATATGTAAAGCGACTTAAGTTCGTAAACGTATCATGCATGAGGTATAGCTGTGTTTTATTGGCGGGCGGGGCGCGAGGCATATACGACGGCAGCGGCGTCGGCTGTAAGCATATATAAATGAATATTAACATATACGTATATATAAATATATTAATATTAGCGGCGGCGTAATATTAATCTTCGCATAATATCGCGGCACTTTCGCTGGCGTCGACGACGCGATGTCCGGCGTCATCTCGGGCGTTTAAAGGTTAGCAGCGTTGATAGCGACGGTTGGCGAGTGCGGATCAGTTCGTCGACATTTTCACTTTGACAACGGGAAGAAGACTACGGTATCATTTAAGGCGAGACGTCGTCGGCCGTGGGGCACATGCTGGGCACTCTGTATAACGAAACGACGCGGGGCCGTGTCAATCACATTAAAAACTTGTTTATATATATATATAATTGATGACACGCGCGCGTCTACGGGTTGGAAAATATTGTTGTCGACGACTGGTGAGCGGGGTGGGGTGAATGCGTTACGAACGTCTAGTCTAGACATGACCAACCTTTTTAAGTTTGCGGGCCATTTGTCATTTCAGCAAAATTTAGACGGGCCGCATATCTATGAAAATTCACATTTTGAAAAATTTTTAATAATCTAATTTATATCTACCCATATTATAAACATTATTAAATGTGTTATCTATCTAAAATCTATCTTTATTGTAAACATTATCAAAAACCTACTTAGATTGTAAACATTACCAAATATGGTCATAAACGAGCGGGATTAAAGGTGATAGAAAACATTGACACTATAAATAAATATAAACACAAACAATTGCCTACTATTAATTGATGCGTCCTTTGCACACTTGAGTCAGTTAGTTTCCTGCTTATGATGTTAAAGCGACTATATTCCAGTGAAAGTGATATTTAAGTGCATTGAATTATTGGTAATAAAAATTTTTTCATTATAAATAAAAATTGATCATTATTAACGAATATTTATTATTTAAAAATAATTTTTTTTAGCTCTGTGATAAATACCCTAATAAAAATGTCTGAAACAAAAAAAAAAAACGTAAAATTTCCGAAGAAAATCGTCATTTTCAGGACATTTGGATGTATAAATACTTTTTCATTCAATTCAACGAGAAACCAACTTGTCTTATTTGTCGTGAATCTGTGGCTGTTTATAAGGAATTTAA